AAGCAAAAGCTGCCTCGTTTTGACGAGCGAATGTTGATAATAATGACGGACGTCCTCTGGCGCAGAACGGTTTTGTGTTCTGATGGGAGCGAGCAAGCGAGCGGGGCGTTCTTATCTTGATTTTAAAACGCATCAAAACGTCAATTTTTCCTCCGAAACGCCGTTGCTTCCCTGCCTGCCTGCCTGCGTTACGTCGTTGCGGCGGTGCGACCCGCCTTAATCCATTGTTTATGGTATACTGTAATCAATTATGAAGATTACCAAGCGAAATAAATGTTCTAGTTATTCCAGTACACTCCCCTGGTCTAATAAACCCCTTTTTTCCGTAATTAAACCCCGGGTTTAAGAGGAAAGATTTTAATTAACTACTCCAGAAGCTATATCCGTCAAACTGGTTGCATCTACCTGTGTGTGTGAGTGCCTGTGTACGGTTATCGAACCGGAACGTGAACCGTCCTGGCGACCGTCGTCGTCGTCGTTGTCGTCGTGCGGTGCATTACTTTCCCGAATGCGTGAACGTTACCCAGCCTGGAGCGTTTTTGACGCGTATCACCTTAATTACCTGGGGACCGCAAGTTGTAATTATGCTGGAATTTCAATCTCCCTTCCCCTTGTCTCCTAATTGTTTGTCCACCACCGCGTGGGTCCCAGAAAACAATGTGCAACGGGGCGGCGGCGAAGAAAAATGTCATGTGCCAGCGATTTTCCTCATCTTCCACGACGAGGGCATTACAACTTTTATTGTCAAGACGCTCGCGAGCCAAAGATTGATAAAACAATAGGTGTGCTTGTTTTTCCGTTTGCCCCCCTCCAGCTCGATCCAAGTCAACCGCAAACAACGCTGTACAGTGAAAATATCTCTTCATCGGTCACCGTCGTCGTAGTCGTTGCCTGTGGCCCTTGGCAACTGTCACGTTGGCGGCTCAAAAGCCATTGCGCGCCCGATGCGACGACGACGCCCACAAGAGTTCTGGATCATGTCGTCGTCGTTGAGGGTCCACCACAAGAACTTCATTCTAGTGCTGGACTGGTGCATGTATTATTATTATTTTTTTGTGTGGACTCGTTTGTTTATGGGAGAATTTTTCACCTCCGATAAACTGTTTCCCACAGTTTGGTCGCCCTGCGGGTGTGACGATGCGGTGTATCGTGGATCGTGGCGCTTATTGTCCGTCGTCGTCCGGCGAACGTTAATAGTCAAATTAGCCGGTGATGATTAGTTTTCGGAAGGATTGATATTGATTTCATGTTTGGGTCTTGCTTTGGGTATTGCAAGTTTCAACGTTGATTGTGGCACTGTGCGTAGTTTTTATTCTTTTAGGGTTGCTCAAATATGTTGAATTATTGTATCGTCGGTGCAGAGAAAAATTATCACTATTGGAGTTGCCAACCGAAATTTATGGATGTCAGATTACATATTACAAATGGTTGAAGGCATAACAGACCAGCTTCATAGGCCTTATAGGTTGATTGCAAGGAACTTGTGTGAACAAGCCCAGCACCAGTGTTGTGTGAACAACACCAGTACCATCACGGAAGCGGCGCTTTGGAACCGTGGAATGTTTCTGTCCCTATCTGGGATGTCCCTGGACCTACACGCCCACAACCTGTTGTTTTGGACATTGTGAGACTGCTGCAGGACAAATAATTTTTCATCGGAAAAGACAAAGTCTCGTCCAGCGTGCCGCGATAGTAGGAGAGTTGCTCTTTCAAGCCGTTTCTTCTTGGAAGGTTCCGAAACTCTGTGAACTTTACGTTTCTTGAAAGCTTGGCATCCCAGGTCCTGCTTGAGCACATTGTGCATGGTCGATTTCGAGACATTGAGATCCGCGGCCATTTTACGTACAGAGCGTTGTGATTTTCGTCGAACTCGTTCCCTGACGGTCTTAATCACTCGTTCAGTCCTAGCTGAACGTCTTCGGCCGGATCTTTTCCGGTCATCTAACGAGGAAGTCTCACGGTACCTTCTAATGGTTCGATACACAAAATCCCGCTTTACTCCCAGATTCTGCAAACTCTTGAAAATAGCGCCAGGGCGCTCTCCTTCCAAAAACTTTTTTATTACCACAGCACGAAATTCTTTCATCGTTGATAAAAGATGGATACTGAATGAAAATAAGCAAACAGAACCGTCAATGGTTTGTGTAAACACAGTGCAAGATTACACCAATCCATATAAAGTGTATGAACTGTAGCTTCACCACTACGACAAGATGAAAAGGTGTATGAGAATATATTGGACACGGTGTACATTCTCAGTTTTCGTATGGATGAAGTTCAGAGGTCGTATTAGTCAAATTTGGAGAGCTTAATGTTAACTTTTTACGGCACACCTTCAGCCTCCTGGAACAACTACAAAGGATATATCACTTAATTCCAGTACACTACCCATAAAAGCATAACATATGGAATTTTATAGGAAACTGAGTTATCCATTGGATTCGATTACAAACTACCGGTATATTCCAATGTGCACTAACAAGTTACATGTTTTGTTCAGAAAGTATCATGAAAAATACCAATAGTAGGAAATGTCATCGGTAAGAGCCCACGAAGAAATAAATTTTCAACAGTGTTGTACTTAAATAGTTTTTTCAACAGTGATATACTTATAAGCAGTACACTTTAGAGGTCGTATGAATCAGCTTAAGTCACTTATAAGAGTCAGTATTTTTTAATTTTGAGATTGTTAGCCATAGGCTAGTTCATCTCAATTAAGAGTCAGCAATTAAATGTTTGTTATGAGGCATTATTGATCAACCTTAATGACCGTACTAGCATGCTTCATGGGTCAACTCCAGCTATCCGGATCTTCATTGCAATATGAGATTGAGTTAGCAGATCTTGCGAAATGAGTGTCAACTGGGCCAACTTTAGAGCAAGTTCCAAGTCTAAATAGTTAAATCCAAAATCCTTATGGACCAAATCCACCATGCTGGACTTTGTTTTTTACAATATTTTGCTGTTCACATGAAACCAGAAAAAAAATATTATGGGCATCCGTGAAAGACCGGAAAAACGGAAATTGAATTTCTTAAATCTAGTGACCACCCTATCTAAAAGGAAGAACGCGAAGAAGATTTTTCGAGCATGATCGGTTTTCTAGTAGCTATTTATTAGTTATAATTTAAATTTACTATTTGTTTGTATCATGGAAATGAATCGAAATCGATTTCTATCAATAAACAAATAATCGATTAATCGATGTATTGGAAAAATCGGACATCCCTATAGGCAAATTCAATGTACAGAATCCCCAAGCTAATCTTACCAAAACAAACGAAATAACCAGAAAAGGTTGATTCGATAATCCGACTGTCAAACCTATACCAAAATACCAAAACATAAAAATAGCATGCTCTCTGAGGGGGGCTTCACATCTTAATCGCAATTATAGATTCACGAAAAATCTAACACTAGCGAATCAATCTACGAAAAATTTTCTTTCATTTCTCGCATCTACTTGCATCGTGCATCATCTTTTTGCAGGAAATCTTCAGAATCGTCATCAGTCTTCTTTCTATCTACTCAGCGTGCGCGCAGCTAACCAAAGCAAAACAAAATCTCTCCTGCATCACCCCCTCGATGCTTTCTGTATTAATGTTCAAAAACTGAAAGTACAATCAACGCATTTAAATGCTTGTTTACATTTTTTAATCTGACATTTTCCGGATTATTGGGGTTTGGATTAACGAGTCGATCATTACAGTATTGGCAATCTTAGGGACCATCCATAAATGACGTAGCATATTATTGACCAATTTTAGACCCCCTTCCTCCCCTCGTAGCATATTTGGCTGTACCTAATACATGGCTGGTCGCAACTTCTGAAACTTTCAAATTCTACGTCATTTGTGCACGTTCCCTTACTGAAACAGTAACCGAATTAGGGGGATTAGGGCTAATAACAGAATTCTTTTTCGTACAAAGTAGAACCCGAAATCCACAGTTAGTGCATTTGATCAGAGCGTGAAGCTTGCGTCGGCAATGCAATTCCAAATTAGCTACAACCCCCCATCGAAGACTGTCCGTCAGCCTTCTCTTTCTGAGGTTCTAATTTTAGCCATTTCTTCAAGGTTCGGTGGTCCGTCTTTCAAGCGATTTTGCGAATTTTGGAAAGTACTGCTAATAATAATCGCCTAAAACAATCTTCGTATGCCGCGGCGGTTTGTTGCTGGAGCTTCAGCGATGCGCCCACTTTCGCATTTAGCTAATGATGCGATTGTTATTAAGTATGCTTGTTTCTGCGACTGACGGTCGGTCGGTCGGTCGGTAGGCATTTCAGCAGGCTCAGATTTTGGGCTTCGCGGGTTGTCGGTCGGTGGGAAAACGGGCGTCATCAAAACAATAATCACAATTTCACTTTGGATCGCTCTGCTGCGACTGGTATTATATAGCAATGATGATTGTTGTTGCTGGTGCCGCTGGTGAGGTGCATCTACTTTTTTTACCACTAATTTTCGACTCTGATTTGGAATAGTTGAGCTGAAAACGAGGCATACAGAGAAGTGCCCATAATTACCTAATATGAGGCTGAGACTTTGAACAAAAAAAAAATATAGTGTAGTTACAGACAAGACTAGCTAAATGCGCTGTTTTCTCGGAAATTTTCGATTGTTACAGCAGCACCCGCGAAGCTTTTCTCGCAATTGTTTTCAAGAGGGAAAATTAACCGCCAACCACGGCCCCGGCGCTAGCCGAGCGCGCTCGCTCCCTTTGCTCGAGCTGATGAGCTCGATTTTTCGGAGTACAATAGCTAATATTTTAATTATTTTAATTTATACTTTCTCCAAAGTGTTTTTCTCTTCCCATAATGGCAATAATAAAAATATTACACCGCTTGATTGCAGTTTTATGTTAAACGATTTTTCTCCCATTCCCTTTGGTTTTGCGTTCCAACGTCTTGCAACGCAACCCTCCACTGTTCCTACCCCGATGTGTGTTTGGTTTGAAATCATAATCGCTAATGTCATTCCGTTTTTCTTCTCGTTTCCCGACAGATGAGCGGCAAACGGTCGCGTAGCTTCAAGTGTGCAGTACATCATCGCGATCGTGAAGTTTGTTCGGAGAACGATTTTCATCTGATATTTGAAGATCCACCATTATTCAAGAGGTAAGAAGGTTCTCCTCCATCCCCCCCTCTCACCACCGCTCTGCGGTGGTACCTGTTTGAATGATAATTTGTACAACGCGCTCATACAGATATACCAGCCAACCCTCCTCGCTGCACACACTGAGCGAAATAAAACGTTTTCTTTTCACTTATCGCCGATATTTTTGTTCTTTTCTTGCTGTTCTTTTTCTTCCAGAATGGTGCACGTAATTGCAATGGAAGTGCTCCCCGAAGAGCGGGATCGAAAATATTATGCAGACAATTATTCATGCTGTCCGCCTCCATTATTTGTGATATTAGTTACATTAGTCGAGGTATGTACCCTTCCTTTTTATTATATTTTTATTATATCACTGCGGCGCAGCAGCATCAAGTCTAGTAGGTATGAGGAAATGATCTCAGCCTGGAAGAATCTGCTGCGTTGGATGTCTCTCTTTCCCTTTCTCACAGTCACACGTTGGCCCACTTTCAGGGGCGACAGCCTGTCGTCCGTCTACAAGATCCGATTTTGATTGTTTCTTTGCCTTTGCAGTTGGGGTTTTTCACCTACCACACGCTTACCTCGGGTCAAGCGGATCCGGCCGGTCCGGTTCCGATCGATTCGATGTTCATCTACCGGCCAGACAAACGGCACGAAGTCTGGCGGTTTCTGTTCTACATGGTTCTACATGCCGGGTAAGTTCTCCGAACGATTTGACTTCTAGCTGGCCAAATTTTCTAACATTGCTATTGTTGTTACAGATGGTTCCATCTGGGTTTTAACCTAGTCGTGCAACTCCTAGTTGGGCTACCATTGGAGATGGTACACGGATCAACTAGGATAGGTTGCGTCTATCTGGCAGGTGTACTCGCTGGTTCACTAGGTAAGTCCTCTTCCGGCACTGCTGCTCATGGCTATCGTATTTTCGAAAATTCTAACTGAACATTTTCTCATTTTGCCCCCGAACAGGAACCAGTGTGTTCGATCCTGAAGTCTACCTCGTCGGTGCCAGTGGGGGCGTCTATGCTCTGCTGGCCGCTCACCTAGCGAATGTTATGCTCAACTACCGCAATATGCAGTACGGCATCGTTCGGCTACTGGCGATATTCCTATTCGGTGAGTTGCCCATTTGATCCTATGTATTTTGGTTGAAACGATTCCTGCAGTAATAGACACTTTTGCATATTTTATCAATTATGGCTATCCTCGGGTTATACTGTTCCAGTTGTCGAATTTCCTAAATTCGAGTAGTAAAATTCTCTTCGATTTGGCCCAAGTATCGGAAAATGCTCAGAATTTCTAGATTCAAAATTGAGTGGTTTTTGCTAAATATCACCCAAGTATTTGGTGACCTGATTGGACATAACCAATTCAAACTGACTAGAAAGGTGCCTATAAATGCATAGCTGTCCCATGTCTGCTAGGGTAAAGTAATTGTTTTATCAGTAGTATATTGGAGTTTACATAAATATGAAAGTAATACAGTAGTTTTATACAGTATACAGTTATATTGGTTCGTCACTCTGTTAACCGATAGCCCAAGCTATTTTACTTGGAATCGCCAAAAATTGCCAAACACATCATTAGAAACGTCTAAAAAATGCTTTAAAAATGCTGAAGTCGCCAACATAGTCTAGAAACGGCAAAATGACCTTAAAATTGAATGACTAATCAGAAGTTTGGCTTCAAACGTCGAAACACCAAAAATAACTTAAAAATGACTTTGATTACAGTACTGGCAATAATAAAGTAATCACCGTTTTTTTAGTCGATTCAATACATTTTTTAAAGTGCTGAAACTTTCCAGTACGTGCATCAACATTTCTGAAAAATATACAACTGGTGGATGAAATATTTAAGGTTTATTGGTAAAGTTTTGAGCTTGATTGGCTGAGTTTGTACGAAGCTTGAGAACATTTAGTAAAATGTTTCTTATTTGACTACCATTTTTCAAATTGGTGTTTCTTGAAGCAAAACAATCTTAATAAGTAATAATTACACAAATCTAACCACAGCGAAAAAAGTTAAAAATTCCAAAGCTCATTTAAAAAACGACCAACATTTATGGTCAACGGATAACATAATTTTAGATTAGAGTTGGTTGGAAATGCTATCTAACATGAAGCTCTAGTGTGATAATTTATTAGCTAGAGAATGGTCTTAGAAGTGTGTAGGTAGATAGTTAGAGTACGGCAGTATGGAAAGTGAATAGAAGTTGAAAATGAGCGAAGGGCCATTAATGCGACAGTGCAAGTCAAACGCACACTCTTTGTCCAACCCGTACGATGTACCCGGAGATTTGAAGTAAGACATACTTGAATAGCAGCTTGAGCTTAATCAAGCAAACATATCTTTCTTCAGCTCAAAAATAAATGGTTTATTCAGCTCTTAATGATCTTAATCCTTTGAAATTATTTGACCTTTCGCAAAACTTTCCTCAGAAATCCTTTGGAATTCTCCTCAGAATACCTTGGAATTATGTGCTGAATTTTTGTGAAACTTTCTTAAGAATTTAATTCAAATATTAACAGCATTTTATTTACTTTATTACTTCAGAACACGATTCCTTCGACATCTTTCTTGATTCTTGCTTAAAGTGCCCTTGTGAATCTTTCTCAGTATTCATTTGAAATTATTATCAGAAAACCCTTTAAATTATGTGTATATTTCCTCTCCTTAAAACTCTTCTGCTATTCTCCTCAAAATCAGCATACAATTCTCTTTAGAATCACCAAGGAATTCTCCTTAAAGTTCTCGCCACAACTCCCTTGTAATTCTTCTATGAGTTCGTCAGGACTTAATCCTAGATTCTTGTCAGAGCTTCGTTCGATTTTTCTTTAATTTCTTCACGATCAATCGATGATCTGTACACGATCTTTAAAAAAATGTCTTGCTCCGTATCAGCTTCCAGATTTCTAAAACAATTTCTTAATTTAATCGTTACCTATAAAATTTGATCTTATCACTCAGCCCAAAAGCGTTCAACTATGCGATCTTAAAAAATCCATATCTCTGGTACTTTGAATATTCTGGCGCTTTACAATCATAAGAGGACTTGAGTCTTAAAAAAATATATATTCAAATTGATTCTAAGTACCTCGAAAAGAACGTAATATTGCAATCATAGTTTTTACTAAATATTAAAAACCGGGAAAACCGGGAATATTTTGATGTTTGAAACGGGAAAACCAAAAAAAAACCGGGAATTTCAAAATGAAAATTCATGGGTCTCCCTGAAAAAAGGGATGCCTCCAACATAGCAAAACAACCAAACGTCAAATAAAACCTTTAAAATCTCCAAACTACATTGAAAATGCCAAAATAACGTAAACATAGCTTTGAATACCTAACAATCGCCAAAACGTCCTCAAAAGTCAAAATGAAACGCCAAAATTACCGTTCAGACCCCAAAATGCAGTGGAGCAATCGTGGGGTAACACTTTGAATGTTGCACGTGTCGTAGAAGCTGATATTTGTGCACTTAATGTTTCGAAGTGGTTCCGAGAATAAGGATGTCACAGCAAATCACCTCAATGGCGTAACAATTGATCGTAACCGTCATGTCCGCGACGGATTAAAAAAAATCCGTTATTCTACAAATTGTAGAGTACTTTCATTTCTTGAAATTTCCCAGAGCTTCAAATGTCACTGCAGATTACTCAGCTTTACATCCTATAATCGCATATTGGTCCCATATGGAGTTACGTCAATTTTGAGATAACAACGCTATCTACTATCAATTGGCATCTAATTTCATATTATGTGATAACAGTATGGATTGTGATCAAGAAAGATATGGAAACAACGTCAAGCCAGTTTGTGCCATCAAGAAAAGCAATCGCATATCAGTCCCATCCTGAAATTCAATCGCCCAGAGGTTAAGTTACAATTCTGATTTTTGAATTGCCATAACAAAACATGCCAGCTCCATTGCAACTGATTTTAACTTGAAAAAATTATCAATAATTTTACAATGCTTTTTCAAATATTAACATGGGAATTGCACTTCTTAACTTCGACTGCCATTTTTTCATCGCCTACTTTTTCCATATGCGATTATAGGCAGTTTAATACTAAGACATGGTGAGTTTTCTGAATGTTCGCAGAGTACCGGATTTTGTTGAACTTTTCAGGAATTCTGCTGGAATTCCCGAAGCTTGCTGGAGTGTTCCGGGACTGATACAGTTTTTGTAGTCGGGGAGTACAAGAGTATGTTGATATTCCCGCGAGCCCTAAAGGTTGCTGGAGATTGAACAGTTCTGAGCACCGCAAATTCTTGGAGTTGTCTCCGAGTACCACAAATTCTTGAAGCTCTTTCAGTTCGTAATGTTCCGGGAGTCGACCATACATCGTGTAGTCGTAGAAATTTGGAAAATTTACAGAGTATATGAGCTTCTTCAAGTTCCCAAGTGGCTTAAAAGAGCTGCTAGACGTCAGAAAGATCTCGATCCGGAGCTCAGTAATTCTTTAGTCGTGAATTTTTTTCTTGTTGTCGTGGAAGATTTTAGAGTATCAGAATTTCTTGATATTCTCAAGCTGTCTAAAGATTGCCAAAGACCCAGTGGTTCCGAAAATTGTCCAAGAGCTCACATAATAACCTAGGCTCTCGAAGTTCCTAAAAGCTCTCGAAATGCTAGAAATCATGCGGTCACTAGAGCTTCTAGAACACTGGAAGTAGTATTGAGAATTCTTGAATTTCGGGAAGTTTATGCAGTTTTAAGAGTTCTGAAAACTACTGGAACTTCGTAAGCTTTTGTAGTTAAAACTATAGAGAGTATCGGAAGTTCCAAAATCACCTGCAAGTCTAATAACTCTCGATACTCCAAGAACTCTCAGTAGTGCGATAAATAAGTTCCAAATACTTCCAGAACTGAAGCAACTCTCGGATGTCCTGAGGTTGTTAGTTTTTAGGGTTCTTGATATTCTTGGAATTCTGATAGCTTATAGATTTTTGAGAGTTCCAGAACTCAGTAGAGTACTCGATATTTGATATTCTACTCCAGAAAGCTTTGATGCTGTTAGTTTTAGGGATTCTCGAAATTCTCGGATTTCTGGTAGTTAAAAGACTTTTTAAAGTTCTAAAAAACACTAGAGTTCCGAAAGTACGAGACGAGAGTACCAGTGGTTCCAAAATCACAACTCTCGATACTCCAAAAACTCCCAGAAGTGCGAGAAATATGTTCCGAAGACTTCCAGAACTGGAAGAGCTTTCGGGAGCCTTGAGGTTGGCTGTTAGCTTTTAGGGTTTTTGATATTCTTGAAATTCTTGTGGCTTATAGACTTTTCAAATTTTCTTAAGTATCGAGGGTAAGGGTTTTGAAATCATCCAGCATTTTTAGATTTCTCCATACTCTAAAAACTCTCAAAAGTTGGTTTTTAGAGTTCTAGATATTCTCGGATTTCTGGGTGGTCACGAAATGTGAAGAGTTCTGGATGTCACTAGAAGGGTGATTTTGACGGGGGTTTTAAAATCATCCGTAAGAACTCCTGAAAATGGAAGAAATACGCTGTTAACACTTCTAAAACTGCAGGAATAGTCGGAGATTTTGAAACTTTTCAAATAAAATAAAAACCGGGCAAATAAACAACTCTGAAATTCCTGGTATTCCGGAAAAATTGGAACTTAAATATTTCCCGGAAATTCGAGAATACTTCCGGAACTGGACTGGATAAATAGTTTTCGTAAGCTTTTTGTACTTCGGGGATCTGCTGAACTGTTGAAAGTCCATAAAATCCAATCACTTTGAGAATTGCCAGAACCGGAAACTTTCGAAAGTTTTTGCTGTTTCGTGAGCTTAGGAAATTTCTTGAGATGTTGGTGTTTCCAAAGTTTTTATAATTTTTAAAGTCCTCAGAGTAATTAGACTTCTGATATACATACTGATATATCCAAAATTAAAAGAAAAAAATCGCATGTGCTGAAATTTTAGTTCGGGAAATTTCTGGAACACATGAAATGTAAAGTGTGAATGTGCTCAGTAACTTTTCAAAGAATTTCAACTTCAGTTTCGGACACTCCGGCTTTCGAGAGTTCCAAGACTTTTCGGGAGTTCTTGGATTTTAACGAAATTCAGAAGTATCGAGAGTTCCACTTCCAATCCGTTTCCGTCCAGTGTATCGAGGGTTTTAGATTGGATAACTTATCGGTTTGTCAACTTATCGGAAGTGTTCTAAATCATATCATATTTTGCCAAGTGTCTGCGTCGGGATCGCGGGAACTTATCGCAAATCTACCTCATACATTCACGACTTCTAATCAAAATATTCCCCTTCTCTCTCTCCCACCAAACACAAATGCAGCATCCTGCGACGTCGGTTTCGCGATCTACTCCCGGTACGCGGTAGAACCGGAAAGCGGTGCCCCATCGGTGTCGTATGTGGCGCATCTGACCGGTGCCCTGGCGGGCCTCACGATAGGGCTGCTGGTGCTGAAAAACTTCGAGCAGAAACTGCACGAACAACTGCTCTGGTGGGTGGCGCTCGGAGTGTACGCGGCCTGTACGATCTTTGCCATCGTGTTCAACCTGCTCAACACCGTCACCGTGCAGAGGCTAGAGGAGGAAGGCGAGCAGGTATTGAAGCAGCATCTTTTCAACAATTTTGGATTTTAAACCGAGTACGCATGATCGGCTTGGAAACTCGATAGCGTTCGGAAGCGTTCTAAACGCAAACTGTCCGTCCTTACGGCTTCGATGAGGAACCACGAACGGGGCAACGAACCAGTGAGTATAAAATTCGAAAGTGAGCGAAAGGTGCGTCGAAGTTAGGAGGAAAATTGAAAGTCGAGGCTGTGGCACGTGGAATTGAACTACTGAGAGGGCCTCGGGGAAAAAGTTGTGATTTGTGTATAGACTTATTTTGTATTGCGTATGTTTATATTTAACGAGAACTTCGGGAATTTGGTAGGAACTAAAGTCTTGAATCGAGATCGTAATGAACTAAGTAGAGAGAAAAGGAAAAGTTGGCAAGCTCAGTGACCTCGACAGTCTGATCGCCGCACGCGGATGTGGTTGATGATCAGGTTTAGACATGTGTGATTTTTTTTGTAAGGCTTGAAAAACGGAGATAATGCGAAAGGTTAGCTCGACAATCGATTTGGCTGCGTGCGCACATCGTAATTGAATACGTAAGAGTACATCACTGGATAGAATAAAGTGCTTTAAATTTTTTTTCCCAATTTAAACTCTCGAAGGAGTATGAACTGATCCACTTTTCGTCCTTCCCCTCCGTCAAGCACGAGTCACTTTGATTGTACCGTGGAGCGTTCCATTTCGGTCCAAGATACCAAAGACTGTAAATGACATTCAAGCAAATCACCTGAAATGCGATGATCATAGTTAGCAAATATCGATTAATCGAAGGAGCCGTTGATCTCCTGTCAAAGTCCAGTACACTTTTTTGTAAATATTTTTTTTTTATAGAATCTAAACCAATCCGAGTCGAACCCAAAAAAAACACTTTTGCAAATTTCTTAGTGAAATTAATGAAAATGCAAACACACTGTACATTCACTCTCACTAAACTCAATGCAAGAAGGTAGCAATATCTTCCGTTCCAAAAAGAGAAAGCAAGAATACGAGTAAACATTTTAGTTAGGCTCTTTGAATTTAAATAAAATGAATATTAAAAATCCTATTAATACTGCATATTATTACTGCTGAAAGAGGAAATCAATAATTCTAGTCAATTTCTATGAAACTATTATTATTAATTATTATTATTATTAAATTAACCTGAGCAAATCCAACCCTTTCGAAGAGAATAGATCAAAAAGTATTGTAGAGAAAAGGAAAAAAAATACACACTCAACTTATTCAAGTCATTAATCACAAAGAAATTTAGTGTTTATTTATTATTTTTGTCTAATCATGCAATCAACAAAATACAGTTGCCGTCAAAACAGTGAAAAACGTCCCCCTGTGGAATTCAGATCCCACACCTGCTGTTATCGAAACCGATTCTGTTGAGCACAATCCTAATTGTTTTTGCGTCTTTATAATATTTTTTTTTTGTTTTTAAAAATAGGAAAAGCCAAAGAAGATTTATTTATTTTTTTATATCGTAAATTATTCCGGGACGACCGAAAAATTAGCACGAACGAATCTTTCCACGGGAAATGTTTGCGTACCCTCCAATAATAATAATTAATTAAAAGAAGATTGAATCAAATGCCTTACCAAATAGAAATAAACCAAAAAGTAACCCTCCACTTCCCCTGAAATCCACTGTTCGAAGAAGTACAAACGAATCTGGGTCAATGTGCTTTTCGTAGAACATTTTTTCGTAAAAAAAATACACTGCCAGTAACACACTAACGAGAGAGAAAATAAAACTATAAAAAACGCATTCATTTTCCTGAAGATTACGTGAAACTGTGGGAAAATCGTATAACTGTCTCGCATAATTAAGAGATACCGACAGAAGAAAAAAATAATCTAATAGGATGTATTTATAATAAATTATTGTATGCGAAAAAAGTATATGCAAAACGAGGAAAAAATCACCGAAAAGAAAACATTAATAAAAAACAAAAACCATTGAAAATCAACTTAACAGACGCACATTATCAGTCCTATTATTGATGACAGCTCCCTAGAACCTCCACCTGCCTTCGTCGCCCCATTACATCCGGTTATCCTACACCGCGTCAAGACACGTGGGTCTTACATCCGTTCTTCGTTATCCACCTCATTGCTGCTACTCAATAAATGGGCTACGGGACGGGGCGGGATGACACTGACTGAATAGGGATCGCAGACGGAGAACGAACGACGCGTCTGGACGAGTGGGCTGAGTATAGAGTCGCTGTCTGGCAAAGGGTTCGCACCGTCGCCGTCGTCGTCGTCGTCGTCGTTGTCGATCGATCGTGTTATTCACACAACACACATATTGCAGTCGCTGTTTGCGCATTTCCGTCTTCAGCGCCGAGTTGCATTAGTCATCGACCGTGGTTGTAGCCGCCGCCGTTCGGGGTCGTCCAGTCAGTAGAGACGAGAGGTGTGTGGATCTCGCCGACGCACACCTTCCTTTTCCTTGACTTGCTTCGACGTTCTTTTTTTTTTTTGGTTTCTCATTATCATCACTGGTTTGTGCTCTGCTTGTGGCTGATTGTTCCTTTTATTATCATCTGTTTTTACTTTTTTTTCTGTGTTTGCGCTAAGTACACTCGAACCAGCTGTGGTGATAATTCATTTGTTTAACTTTCCCACGTCCTGACTAACACAACACAAGTGGAATCGAAGTTGTCTATGGAGGAGAAAAACAGTCAGCCGGTTATTTAAGGGTAACAAATTAGCATTAATTTAGAACAATGGGTCGTGTTGTGAATTTTGAATCAGATGGGAGTAATTTTGAACCGGTTTGGGAGTAAAACACTCGCAGGCAGAAGGTTCCAACGTTAAACAGTTCATTTTCCAATATCACAGTCAATAGCTTATGATGCCTGTGTATAAGCTTTTAATTTTTTAATTATTTTAAATCAAAGAGTCGGGGTTCTGTAAAGTTGTCATGGTCTTCTCCTTCTAGGCTTTTTATACTGAGCAGTAGACTGATGCACAATTTGAAATGTTTGCTCCACTGTGCTAAAACTATTCCAAATCGGGTTCTGATTAGCCTCGAAAATATGAACTCATTTGGTTAGAAACAACTTTTTTTTTAATTTTTTTAAATCGTTGTCAGGTATTTTCACTACTGCTACCATTTTTCTGATCCATTGTGATATATTCCCCAGCTATATCAAGATTCCGTATCACTATTATTAGGAGTGATCGCCATTGTTTGACTAATATAATTATCCCAGCAAGGCATTACACGTCGAATAAAGTGAACTGCCTTAATGTCAAAGGGTTATATCAACTTACGCATTTTATTGAAAATTGCCGGACAGTGGCATAGCAAATGTTCCGAGCCTTCCTTTTCTATGCCAAAGAAACGACATACATCATCTTGAAGTTTTCCAATCAGCTTCAAGTGATAACGGCTCGGACAATGACCTGTTATAAGAGCTGTATAAGTGCTAAAATCTTTTTTAGAAAGCTCCAGTATTTTGTGGGTCACATAAATGTTTGGATTAATGAATCGCTTCGACTGCCTAGCAATGGCAGTGTTCTTCCAGTTTTCCTCCACTTTTGAAGATTCCCACGGTTTAGCTCCATTATAAAAGATGCAGCCGATAAGCCACAAAAGGGCTCTGGCCCTATGAACTTATGGGAAGATCCGAGTCTTGCTAGTGCATCAGCTCTTTCATTTCCGTCAATCCCTCAATGACCAGGAAGGATTTTTGAAGTGATTGAACACACTCCCAGACAAGTTTTGATGTACATGTCGTCGGTTTTAAAGCATTTAGAGAAGTTTGACATTATGCATATATTTGAACTCTTGCAAACATATAATAGAACACTCTAAAATTGCTTGGATTTCAGTTTGGAACACAGAGTTGGACATCTGCCCACAGGAACCGATATGTCTATCCCTGGTCTAGTTACTCCTGCCACCACTTGATTGTTCAATCTTGAACCATATGTATGAAAAACAATCGATCCTGGACGAAGAATCGGACCACTAAATTGCCATGAATTACGCCTAGGGTCAAATACTTGAAAAAGTCGATTGAAATTGTATCTTTTCTCCATCCAGTCTTTGTTGTGCCTTACTAGAGAGTTGATACTAACAGTTTTTTGAATCCTAAGATGTCCTCTAAGGTCTCCTTGAAAGAGTTTCACTGACCTTGTCATCCTTAGAGCACACTTTACGGCTTCTAATTGTACAAATTGAGGCAATGGTAGCATATAAAGCAAAGCATCAAAGAGAGTTAGGGTAACTGATGATGGTTGGACCTATTTAGGCCGGTTTCACACGACGTCAATATTCATATCGTATTTTTTTTTTATGAATTCAACATATAATTATGAAAAATGCGTGATTGGGGGAAAGATCTACCTTTCTTGTTTCTAATAATAACATAAAAAGTTAAATATTATGAACAAATGATTTTATAAAACGTTTTTATTCAGCAAAGAATTATGATGTTGGTTGGACCTATACTGATCTTGGTTGGACCTAAAAAATGATGATGGTTGGACCTATTTTTGCAAATGCTAGTTTAGCCCATATTTGTTCAAAAACTTTGTTTAGAGGTTATTGGTATCATGAAAAAACTCTTTTTATACAGTTTTTATGAATTTGCTATTTAAAAAAATCAAAAAATTTGAGCTTAACTTCGTTTTTAAAAAAAGTTCACTTTCCACGCAAAGGAAGGAATAAAACCTATCATGCGACACTTCACATTACTTCCAAATTCGATTACAAGATCACTAACAAAATTGAGTGCCTTGGACCACATTGGCCACTTCCGGGCATGTTCTGGGTGCCTCCGGGGAATTTAGGGGCTTAAAAAGACAGAATATCAGAACCTAATTCCGATTTTATAGTTCTTTTTCTCCTAGGACTTTTTTTTCGGAAATAAGTTTCAGTTAGCAATATTTAGTTTGTTAACATTTTATTTCAAGTTAATTCACTCATAGAAGGTGTATGAGAAGTGCTTAATGTAAATTCATATTAACAGATTCTTTCGGCGCTTCCGTGGTAGTTCGGAAATCGGTGATTACCCTTTCAACCAACCTGACGATGGAATTCCTCCTTTAAATTTACGCCCAACTAGTGACGCAAGGTCTTTAGCAGCTTCCTAGATCTTTTTGGCCATCTTGGGACTGCCAGAAGCAGCGCACATACAAACCCAATCCGCTAGCTGGTTCTCCAAATCAACACTCAACACTATTTCCCTTCCATATTTCTTGCCGTGGCTTCCCTTAATTTTTGCGTCGTTTTCGGAATATTGTACTTTTTCTGTGCCTGATACGCGGTAAGTGATTTATTTCTTACTAAAAGAAAAGCCTCTTGAAGATTTTCGACCGTATAACTCTTTTCTTTAGCCATTTTTTCAATCGAAGAAACTGATCACTCGGAAAAAACTAAATCGAATTTCAAATCAGCTGCGCATGAAGGATGTAGACAAACCGAAGCGCACCTAGCGGCCGTCTTAGGAAACACATAGGTCCAACCATCATCATGCGTAGATCCAACCATGATCATATTTATCTATTCGAATTTCGTCAATTATTCAAACATTTTAGTGAAACCAATGGATAAATGGCGTACAAACGTGTTGTTTACACCTTAAAGCAGTATTTTACTGTATGAAAATAGAAATAAATGTGCAAAATATTCCCTTTTTGTATGTTTGAAAGTAAGGCATGATGACGAGCTAATGCGTGAAAAGTGAACTGTTTTGAAAACACATTGAAACTCAATTGTTTTCAAGTTTTTTCAATAAAACACCCATGCAATTTGAAGAAAAAGAGTTTTTTATGATAGTAAAGTGATCTTTGAAAATAAAAACTTAGCGAAGATTGACTAAACTAGCGATTGAACAAATAGGTCCAACCATCATCAGTTTTTTGATAGGTCCAACCAGAATCAATTACCCTACTAACCTTTGGAGTTTTTCTAATTTTCTCTGAGCAACACTCTCTTTTGTTTTTGCCAACCTGACCAATGCACCATAAGCAACTCTATGTTAGCCCCGTAACGTGGGTAGATCACTTTTTCGTGGTACGTTACGGGATGTAAGATCTACCACCGATTCCTAGTCCTGACTACTTCAAACTAGGGGAACAGGATTTTTCAGTAATCAAAGGAACACATCTTAGTCCTTGTTACTTTTTATGCCTTGTTTATAGTGACAAGACGCGGCTTTTTCCACCGAGGATGATCTTGAAACAAGAAAAAAATGCGTTAGTTAATCTTCATCTATGTGATTCTTAATCTTCTATTCGTTGTTCCCTAGTTTGAAGTGATTAAGACTAGGGTTCTGATGCATGGTCATTATCGGTGTCGTTCCTTAATTTGTTGCTAAAGAATCCAATTTTGACTGACAAAGGAGCGCGCCTTTGGAGGGTGTTTCAACACTCCGATGGGTATAAATAGCGGGACCTTTCAATTAGAGTCGGATCCTTGCGATAAATGCAAAAATGACAACTGTAAAAAAATCTAATTCTTCATCATTTATCAATAGAGACGAAGTAATACGACATGCATTAAACTAAGGACACGGGATATACTACAATAGATCAAATATTTATTTATTTTTTTATTTACTTGTCTTCGTATAATAAAAACGCGCAGATAGAATTATTAATGTCTAGTTAAAGAACTAATCCTATTTTTATCATGGCAGCAAACATCCAGTGGATTGTATTGACCGTAGAGTGTACGATGCTGAGGAATACGGAGAAGGTCATTTTGTCGCGTCTGCCTAGCCGGTGAATTGAACTGGATTTTCCCTAGAAGTTCAGCACAATCTACATTGTTGTCCAGAATGTCGAATACACACTTAATCTAGATCGGTAAAATCTCCAACAACCGATTACTTCGGCATTTACTTTTGCTGATATATATGCAAAATATCTGTTTGTTAGCTGATATCTCAGCAAAATGATATTTGTTAGCTGAGTCTCGGCAATTGTTTTACTGAATCTCAGCAAAATAAAT